ACAAACAACTAAGCTTTGTTAAGGCATAGCTCATCGAGCATGGACTTTTATGTGGACTACAGCTGTGAAGGCAACAACGAAACAGGCAGAACCAAGCTTACTGTTTCTGGCTATGATACCACAAGCATCAGAGATATTAAATACGCTATTCAGGCCGCCATTCAAGCACCAGTTTGCGATCAACAACTGTATTATCAGGGACAACCGGTAACAGACGATGACATGACTCTCGGCAGACTGTATTTCCGGGAGGGTGACTGTTTTAAAGTGAAGTTTCTTGCTGCAGTAGACATTGCACGAATGACTGAGCTAGTGGATGTGCTGAAAAACTTTGCTCAAGAAATTGTAGAAAAGCTCAATAGACAACCTCCAAGTAAGCTCGCGGCAGAAGACAACTCTGATGGCATAAGCCCGCGGTTCTACGACGAGCTTGTCCTTGCGATAGGTGAACTTTGCTACTCCATGTTCATACCATGGAAACAGTTGAGAACTGCTGCTCAAAGACACTTTTTCGTTCAGGAGGGAGGATTTGATGCATTCTTTGAGGTGCTCAAATTTTCACAGCGACTGAACTTGGTCGAGGATGACATCAGGTGAGTTTTTAATAAACCTGAATTCCATCGAGGGCCCGGGGGAGGACTCCCGGCGTTGACAAAACCAGAACCGGACCGGATCGGACCGGATTGGACCGGATCGGATCGGACCGGATCGGATCACGGATCGGATCACGGATCGGATCACTGATCGGATCACGGATCGGATCACGGATCGGATCACTGATCGGATCACGGATCAGATCACTGATCGGATCACGGATCAGATCACGGATCGGATCACAGATCGGATCACAGTTCAGATCACGGATCGGATCATGGATTGGATCATGGAACAGATCACGGAACGGATCATGGATCGGATCATGGATCGGATCACAGAATGGATCAAGGAAAAAAATTCAAAATTCAAGAGTCAAAATTCAAAATTTTGCTGAGCAAATTACACTAGTGACTATTGTGAGCATAACATTTTATTTAATTCAGGTGTGATATTCCTCAGTTTCTTTCTTTATAATATCAAAGGCAAACTGTCATAAAATGAGTCAGCATGATAATAGTACGACGAACTTATGAATCGGAACCCAAAAAATAAAAACACACTAAACAAATTAAATACCTGATGATTTCAAACAATTTCCATTTTTTGAGACCANGCATAATTCTACATCATTTGTATTGCAAAACTGATACAAGAAGGCAAGAGACAAACAACTAAGCTTTGTTAAGGCATAGCTCATCGAGCATGGACTTTTATGTGGACTACAGCTGTGAAGGCAACAACGAAACAGGCAGAACCAAGCTTACTGTTTCTGGCTATGATACCACAAGCATCAGAGATATTAAATACGCTATTCAGGCCGCCATTCAAGCACCAGTTTGCGATCAACAACTGTATTATCAGGGACAACCGGTAACAGACGATGACATGACTCTCGGCAGACTGTATTTCCGGGAGGGTGACTGTTTTAAAGTGAAGTTTCTTGCTGCAGTAGACATTGCACGAATGACTGAGCTAGTGGATGTGCTGAAAAACTTTGCTCAAGAAATTGTAGAAAAGCTCAATAGACAACCTCCAAGTAAGCTCGCGGCAGAAGACAACTCTGATGGCATAAGCCCGCGGTTCTACGACGAGCTTGTCCTTGCGATAGGTGAACTTTGCTACTCCATGTTCATACCATGGAAACAGTTGAGAACTGCTGCTCAAAGACACTTTTTCGTTCAGGAGGGAGGATTTGATGCATTCTTTGAGGTGCTCAAATTTTCACAGCGACTGAACTTGGTCGAGAATGACATCGGGTGAGTATTTAATAAACCCGAATTCCATCGAGGGCCTGGGGGAGGACTCCCGGCGTCGACAAAACCAGAACCGGACCGGATCGGACCGGATCACGGATTGGATCACGGATCGGATCACTGATCGGATCACGGATCGGATCACTGATCGGATCACGGATCGGATCACGGATCGAATCACGGATCGGATCACGGATTGGATCACGGATCGGATCACGGATTGGATCACAGTTCAGATCACGGATCGGATCACAGATTGGATCACGGATCGGATCACGGAACGGATCACGGAACAGATCACGGAACGGATCACAGAACGGATCAGGGAAAAAAATTCAAAATTCAAGAGTCAAAATTCAAAATTTTGCTGAGCAAATTACACTAGTGACTACTGTGAGCAGAACATTTTATTTAATTCAGGTGTGATATTCCTCAGTTTCTTTCCTTATAATATCAAAGGCAAACTGTCATAAAATGAGTCAGCATGATAATAGTACGACAAACGTATGAATCGGAACACAAAAAATAAAAACACACTAAACAAATTAAATACCTGATGATTTCAAACAATTTCCATTTTTTGAGACCAGTCTATACTTTTACAAGATATGAGTTTGGAATACGATATTTCCCACTGGAATAAAACAAAGCAAACTGATCCAGGCTTTGTCGACGACGGAGGACTCCCATATTATAAGTACAGGGATGCTCGAAGGGCTAAAAAAGCAGTTTTGGCTCAGCCTCAGCGGAAGAAGTTCAGCGGAAGTTTTTGTGGTACCTTTTAGGCTATTTCGGGATAAAAAGTGGCGATATTAAAACATGACATTTTTTTTCAAAATTTCCAACAAGCACCTTGGTCCTTTAAATATGGAAGTCCCCCACCCTCCCCCTGGGATTGAGGGTCACTCAGAAGTTTCATTTCAGTAATATTATTGATTACAGAAAGTGTCAAAATGTGGTACCGGTAATCGGCTATTGCCTTGTGTGGCACTTTTTTGTTCTTACCACATTTTGATGTCTTCTGTGATCAGTTACAATACTGAAAAGACGCATAACAACGTGGAATCAATTTGTTAAATTAAAACACAAGGTTTACTGGAAAATAAGCCAGTTGTAGAAATTCATGTAAAACTACATGTACATCCTGGACCAGAGTAGCATACTTTCTCTATCTTCTCTAGTGAGGATACTGGTCACATCATTTCTCACTTTTTCAGAGTTGTTTGTACAAACAGTCAGCTCATCTATACAATAGAAAATAATGTAAATACATTGTGTCTTGAAGATATGAATTTTACTTTCTTATGTTAAATGCAATATTTTACTCACTCCCTGTGCTTGTTCATAAAATATTGGTTTTACCACATGAAAATAAAATTCATATCCTCGCAATGCCGTGTTACTAAGATACAATAAAAACCTGTTTGTAAGAACCTGGTGGTTTAAGAACCTGCTGACAGAAATTTGCCATTTAATACCCAAAAATATAAGAACCTGTTTAGCCAAGCAAGATCAAGAAGGTTCTTCTGTTGGTTACAGATAATGGTAACATTTTAACAAGGGAGTGTGACTTTAAGATTTCAAATTTATATTACAAGAGAATATAGAATACAGTTGTAACAATAGATTATAAGGAAAGAGCCGGATTAGTTGGTCCAAGATATTTACTTGCTTCTTAGAGTTTCTACTCTAAGTAGCAAGTAAATGTCTTGGACCAGTTAATCCAGCTCTTTACTTCTATTCTTATAAATTGCTCTAGTCTAACTATTGAGCACTCTAATAGCTGATGTGGATTTTAACCTGCTACTTGGTAATACAGTTCACTTATGTCCAGGACTGAATGCAAGTATTGTTTAATTAGTGCTTCATATTTGGCAGGGTTATTTCACATTTTCATAGTACTTCATATTTGATAGAATTGTGTATGTTTTGGTGACTTTGTACCAGTGAGGACACTTTGTGATGCTCATCATAAGGAATTTGAATTCATTAGCATTCAATCCTGGACATACCTGATACAGTTGTAAAATTTCTCAAGCTGGAAAATTCAAGGCCCAAGTGTCATATAGTAAACTATTTAATACTAACCCTGCTTGATTGAGCCATACTGGGGAATATTGGCTCTTGTTGTTTTTATACAGACCTCACTGCACTTGGCTCATACTGTCATGACCTCAGGCTAATATTTCCCAGTTAATGGCCCTTGTGCTCAGTTAACAAGAGGTTGTTATTATTATTGAGGAGTTGTATAATTGGAGGATTTTGTGCAAAAAGGGCTTACATGTATATCGCTTTTTGGGCACTTATGATGTTATTATTAGTATGTTTAAATATCTAATATATATTATTATTAATAGTGTGTTTAAATTTTATTATCACTGATGTGTTTTGTTCCACAGCCCTGGAATGTCAGTAGCAGTCATAATGCAGCAACACATCCTTAATGGATTTTGTCTCAATCTTTTGTGGAACTTTGCTGAGACTAGACAGGATCAGAAGTTTATTTTGTCAAGAGGTGTTTTTCCTCATATAATTGATGCTCTTTTACTTCAGCCAGGCTCAGCTGAGCTTGCTACTCTGGACCATGATTCAAGGCTGGCAGCTCATAGAGTGATTTGTGTTAATGAGGCCGCTATTGGATGCTGTTCAGGGTGGGTCTAATTATGTGCACTGCTTGTTCCTAATCATCCTATCAGTAAAAGTGCACATTAATTTGTATTCCGTTGATGAAGTCCATAAGGAGATTTGAATTGGTTTGTCATGCAATTTGCACTGAGCTGTTAGCCTGTAAATGTAATTTCTCGTGAATAGCATGGAATAATTGATTTTCCTTGTTAAAGCTGTCAAATAGTTTTTCTTCAATGGATGGGTTAAGCTGTTTGTTACGTTAAACCAGACTGAGACCGTCAATTTACAACTTCTTTTGAAACTAAAGTCAAGGACTCTTGTTATCAAATTGAAAACATCAATACCTTGCAGAAAGAATAAGAAAAGCTTTCATCCAATTTTTGGGCCAGAAGTTTATTTTTTAAACCCTCAGGTTTCTGTTGTGTTATCATTGTGCAATCACAATACCCTGACTTYATGTTAACCATTGTTGTGGACACTATACACTGTGGGAATGATTAGTTAGCCATKAACTGACATGCAAAATAGCTTGAATTTTGAACAAAGCAGAGACAATAAAAAATTRTTTTAAGTTGGACACAGTAAATRATAAATTAATGTGGAAATTCAAGCTGAAGATCCCATCAAGAATGTTCATGTTAGATTGTATTACAGTTCAACCCCTATTAAACGGCCACCCTTGGGGAAATGGATAGTGGCCGTTAAAGGGGGCTGGCCACTTATGGTAATAGTAAGAGGTGAAAACAATAGAAAAGCCGCCATTAGGACTTTGATTACTAGTGGCCTAATGGGGATGGCCATTTAATAGGTGGCTTAATAGGGGTTTACATGTAACTATAGTAAAGTTTGGAATGATTCAAATCAGTTTACATCTCTCACTATGTTCCTCATTTTCTGTCAGTTTACATCTCATAATCTTGTCCAGGACAGGAAGGCAAAATACAGTCTTCTGCCCAGGTATAAGGGAGTCACTGGGTATGTTAGGTGTATTTGCTGACTCTCTTTTGTCTTCTCTAGATTGGTAGAGTATGATGCCAACATCCAGGAGGAAGTATCAAAAATCTCACCACTGATTGACAAGTTACTCTGTATTACAGACAGATGCCAATCAGAGCCTGCAGGATATTCACTGTCTGCAAGCCAGGCAGCTTCTAATGCTCTGTTTCATTGCACGTATAATGTCAAATCTGCCCAGCCATTGATGGGTTGCGGTGCTTTAGGGAAAATGGTGAATATCACACAGAAGCTTCTGATTGAAGAGAACAGTGATACCCCATTAAGGTGCAGGAAAGATGCATTGTAGAATATATCTTTAGTTAGAGATCTACCATTTAATATCTGAGCCATTGCAGGCTAGAGTTGTATACCTACATTGTATGTTGGCCAAATTTTACCATCATGAGACAACTTTGTCACATGAGCTTGTTTAGTTGCATCAATCAAAAATCACTTGTAACTTACAACATTCAACACTGTTTGAGGCTGCCAATGGTATGAGATTCTGCAATGTGTCCCGACAGTTGCAAACAAAAATGTTATAAATTAAAGTGCTTGGGATACTATGCACGCTCTGATTGGTTGCTAGGGGCGTTTAGATGAGAGTATATATAAACACAGTCGGAACACTGAAGATTTGCACATATTTTTGTGAATTATTTCCTAAATGCAATAGTAAGAGTACTCTTTTCGTGTTTGCATATCCTCATTTAAACACTTCAATGGGGGCTTGAGAGAATTCTGGAAAGTTTTGCACACCCTCCACTATGTCTCGGGTTTGCATAACTGCCTGGCAAATTCTCCAAACCCCCCCCCCCCCCCCCC